TGTTGCCGCTGCAGTAACGCCAGCTCCGTGGCCTGCTTTTCAGGAGCCCCCGGGGTGGCCCCAGCTCGGCCAGCCTCCCCATCCCGAGAGTTGGCTCGGGTCAGCTTCTCCCGCCGCTCCGGGCCCTCGGGCACTCGGGCTTCCATCAGCGTATCCTGCTGGGCCACAGCCGCCTGGGTGGAACGGGGACAGATGAGTCTAGAAACCCCCGTCTCTTCTATCCCTCACCCTCACCCCCGGGAACCAGGTCAGGATGCCTGGAGTGTTCCAGCCGGGAGAAGGCTTAGAAAGGCCTATTAGGCCCCGGCCAGTGTGGCTCAGTTGGTTGAGCATTGTCCCATGCACCGAAGGGTCACCGGTTCGATTCCCAGCCAGGGCACATACTCAGTTGTTTGCAGGTTTGATCCCCGGTCAGGGTGCGTGCAGGAGGCAACCAATTGATGTTTCTCTCGTTCTCTCTCCCTCTCCCTTCCGCTCTCTCTAAAATCAATAAAAACATATTAAAAAAAAAAGACCTATCAGAATGACTCTGTCCACCTGAATGGGCAGCTCTGTGCTAGCTCCTCCCCTTCCCCATTCCTGCCCCTGCCCCACTGACCTGTAGGCCATGCAGAAGTCCGTAAAGATTGACCAATCGCTGCAACGCTTCCTGAGGAGAGAGGAGAGAGTGGGAACAGGGCTCAAGCTTCAGGATGGGAGAACTGCCCGGAAGCTGGAATAAGTGTGGGTGTGGGGACAGTAAAACTTACAACTTTGAGGTGTAGACTCTCCCCCACACCCCTCCAAACTGGGCTCCAATTCCTCAAGACTAAGAATATCCTCCCTTCAGTCTCCCATAGCATCCAATTCCCATCTCACCTCCTGGGGAGATCTCAGCTGATTCCCATTTCGATCCTGCAGAAATGGGCAAGGACAGGGAGTCAGCAGGCACACAAGTCCCTGGTGCCTGTCCCTGATAGCTCCGTGTCAGGGATCTATAGGCCAGCTGTCCCTGTCCCATCCTCTAGCCAATCCTGACATCTCCTGAGGACCCACCTTCTGGCTGGAGTCTGAGTCGGCTCTGCAGAGTTCGATCGAGCCATTGAAGGTTCTGGCCTCACCATCTGTTGAGGAGAAAAGGATGGGCTGAGCTCACAGGACCCTGACAGCACTCGGCCCCTGGTACCACCCCATTCTCTTTAACCCCTATCCCCCACCCCCCACCCTGGTCCCCTGCCCTGGCACTCACTGGCGGTGATTCCAGGACTCATGTTACCACCACTTTCTGCTTCCGTGGGCAGGCCCGGTTCCCGGTTTGAGAGCAGCTCCACTCCAGGCCCCACGAGCAGGTCTTTCAGGCCCTCCACTGCAGGGAAAGAAGAGGTGAGGACAGAGGTACCACAGAGCCCCGTGAGGAATGGGAGGCGATGCCGTTTGCCCAATACGCTTGGACCACGCAGACATGGAGGGGAATACCCTGCCCATGGGGGCTCCCACTCACACCACCATGGACAAGACAAAGTTCATGAAAGGAGCCCAAGGGCAGCACTGGGGCCTGTAGGACGACAGGTGCCCCTCTCCTCCCCTGCCTCTCCCAGCACCGAGCACACAGCAGGCCCTCAGGGAGTCTATGGGCCGTGGGACGGGCACCCCTTTTGTCTGCATGCGTCCGGGCCTAGCTGTGCGGCCACAGTCTGTGACCGTGAGTGGATGAGCCTGGACTCTGCCCTGGGCGTTCCCTCACCCTCTCGGATGGCGTCCTGCAGCAGCCGCTCGCCACGAGGGGACTCGAGGGACTCCGAACGGAAAAGGCCCCTGGGCAGGGTGGGCAGGGGCATCCCACAGCTGCCATTCTCTTCCACCTGGAAATGGGTCATCTCGGCAAACAGCCCGACCTTCTCCTGCAGCAGCTCCACCAGTGCCCGGTCCTTCTGTTGCAGCTCCACTGTGGACAAGGAACAGGTGAGCACGCTAGAGGGCCGAGAGGGCACCCAGAGAGGGCACCCAGAGAGCCAGCAGTGGAGGGGCAGCCATCCCAGAGGCAGCCATAATAATATCTGACTTTTATGAAATATTACACACACACATACACACACACATACACACACACACTACATGACATATCTATCCCCATTATTTTTACACTGATGGTAGCATACACTTTACAGTGTTTTAAACCTTGCTCTTTTCACTTAACAGTATGTTTCAGTTATGGATCTACATCAGCCCTCAGACAGCCATCTCACTGTGTGACTGTATCCTAAACTATTTAACGAACTTTGGGGGTGGGACTTACTCTTGATTCGCCGCAGGTAAGCCTCATCCTCTGTCTCAATCAGGGGGAAGTCCTCTCTGGATGGGCATCTGGAAAGGTAACAGGGCGGGTCGGGGTAAGGGAGGAAGCGAGGCTACAGACCAGGAGTCACTCTCCCTCCTTCGCAAACGTGTCCTATGCTTCCCTGGTATGACCCATCAGCCGCATGCCCTGGCTCCCTTCACTCTTGGCCCGCCCCCTTTCTTAGCACCGATCCTCTGCATTTAGTGGGATGCATGTCCCTCCCCTAAGATCACCTGGAGGGGGGCATAGTGCAGAGGGACAACTACAGGCTTTGACCTCAAGCAAATGGGGCTCAAATCCTGGCTCCACTATTTGCCAGGTGACCAACTTTCTATTTCCTCTTTTGGAAAAATGGGAATACTATCTTCCTTATGGGTTTTTGTTAGGATTAAATGCAATAATATAACAGTGTTTTAATAAGAGCAGAGGCTCAATGAACTATAATGAATAATATTAATTATAATTTTCACAATTACAACTATGAATACTATTAATAAAGAGGCCACTGTGGATCTACTGTCAATAGAACAGGTATTTTGCACTGTTTTTGCTAAAATAGGCAATTTCATAGTGTTGTATGCATTTCTGAAAAATTAGTTTCAAAGTCTAGATTGCAGAAGTTAATATAATAGGTTTAGAGGAGGACAGGAGCTGGCTGGAGGGGGAACAAGAGGAGGGAATGGGGGAGATCTATAATAGTGTTAATAATGAAAAAAACAGATTTATATATTATAAAGTGGAGAAGAATCCATTCTCTGAAAGCTGAAAAAAATTATATCCTAATTGAGTGTAATCTTCAAGAATCAATTTTCAACATTTTACATGCACTTTACCTGACTGACTGCCTCAAATCTAATGTGTGTCCATCAGAAGCTAAAGATTTGTGGCTTTAGCCCAGTTGGCGTGGCTCAGTGGTTGAGCTTCGACCTATGAACCAGGAGGTCATGGTTTGATACTTGGTCAGAGCACATCCCGGGGTTGCAGGTTTGATCCCCAGGGTGGGGTGTGCAGGAAGCGGCTGATCAATATTTCTCTCTCATCAATGCGTCTATCTCCCTCTCCCTTCCTCTCTCTCTCTCTCTCTAAAAAAACACAAAAACCCATATTTTTTTTAAAAAAAGATTTGCTGCTGTAGCACACTAAACCATTTCCTTCTTGTCTCTCTTGTATGGAGTTTATGAGACTTGCTTCTCTTATCTCCAGTATCAATGCTTTTATTATCTTCTTTTTCATTCCTTTTTAGACGACAGAGGTAAAATCCAATCCAATCCAAAGAGCAGCCCACTGCCTACAGACCAAATGGTAAAGCAGCTGCGATTGGACTGTCGGCCTGGCAGGTATTCCACCATATTACAGCTCAAAACATTGCTCTGCTTGTCAGCTCATGTTGCATTTGACAGGTGATTGGGGCTGTCATCACACATGAGAACATAAGAGGACCTTCCCTGCCTTGGGCCCTCTTGTCTGCCCCCAGCCTCTGCCTCCACCTCTGAACCCTGGGTTCTGATCCCAGGGAGCGCTGTGGCCTGGAGCCGGAGCTGCAGGTGCCCTGAGGCCACACACACACACTCACATGCGCACACTCTGCTGAATGACTCGGATCCAGGTGCTCCGATCATCCCGGGATGCCGTGTGGACCTCATACATCTCAGGGGGGGCCGCGCTGATCAGAAACATCCCTTTCTCCTGGTTGGCGATGTCCCGAACGATGAGATTCTGCAGTGATATCACCGAGGGCTTGTCCTGTCAGTCAGGGAGAGGAAGGAGTAAGCCTTGGGTATCTGGATGCTCTTCAGCTCTTCCGGAATACACAAAGGGTGGAAGAGTCCACCGACACTCCAAGTTAAGAGCCCTGGCTTTGGTGCCAGCCAGAGAGGACCTAGAAGCACATGTAACCCTGGACAATTTAATTAACTTTAAGCTTGACTTTCCTCACCTACAAAAAGGGAGTATTAATAAACCAAAGACCTTACATGCATATATGCAAATACATGGACACAGACAATAGGGTGGTAAAGGCCTGGGGCAGGGCGTGGGGGCGGGCTGGAGGAGGTCAATGGGGGGAAAAGGGAATATGTAATACCTCCAACCATAAAGATTTATATTTAAAAAAGGGGGGGGTATTAATTGGCCTTCCTCACAAGGGTAAAAGTGCCTGCACGCATTAACAACACCTGTTAGTTATTCCTTCTTATTTTATTATAGTAATGGTTACAACCATGGCTATTTCAGGGTTCTTTCGGACTCAGGGAGGAAAGCAAAAAGGGCCTGAAACACTCGTCTGTGCTGGTTGAGAAAGGAGGTGGGAGGTCTCACCAGGGTGGGAAAGATGTACTTCTGGTCCTTCTCTTGGAGAAACACTAGCACGTCTGTCATCAGCAGCATCAGCACATCTGGCAGGGGGGCCAAGGCGGGGGCGCAGTCAGCACGAGAAGGTCTCAGCAGCGGTTTCCTCTTCCCCAAGGATCAGGCTGTCCCCATCGGGTTACAACTCCTGATCCCCCTCTTCCTGGCCTCTCTTCCCTCTGGTTGCTCCCTCCACCCGTGCAGCCCTCGCGCCTCCCCATTCTGACAGCTCAGACTGCGAGAGGGGGAAAATGTGTGTCCTATCGGGCAAAACAGCTACTTAGGCTAGAAGAGACCACCAGGGCTTACCCAACGGCTTTAAAGAAAAACCTCTGTACCCAAGTGATACAGGTTTGGTTTTGTTTTTAAAATATTTTTTTTTTATTGATTTCAGAGTGGAAAGGGAGAGATAGAAACACCAATGATGAGAATCATTGATCGGCTGCCTCCTGCACAACTCACACTGGGGATCGAGCCCCCAGCCCAACCCAGGCATGTGCCCTGACCAGGAATCGAACCGTGACCTCCTGGTTCATAGGTTGGCGCTCAACCACGGAGCCACGCTGGCCGGGCTCTGCAGGTTTCCTAACCTGGAGTCCACAGACTCCTACAACGTCCACTGTTGGGCTCCAGAGGCTCTGCAAACTGTCTGAAGTTGCATAAGCAACTTTGCCTATTAATGTAACATGTGTTTTTCCGGGTGAAAGGGTCCAGAGAATAAAAAGGATTCCCAGAGCAGGAGGGGCCCTTTTTCAACCTTTCAGCTCTATGTCTAACACCTAATAACATATGACCTTTTGGGAAGTTGGACCCAAATTCCCCATGCCCAGCATAGTCCCACTTCTCGTTTTGTGCTGGGCCGGCAAGGGGAACGTTGGGCTCCTTATCCATCTCTCTCACAGTTGAGCAATGCCATCTGCTTCCACTCCAGCAGGCCCCCCTTCACGCCCCTCCTCTGCCCCACCTTCTAGGCCCTCAGAGGCTATGAAGTCCTGCACTTTAAGACAGCGGAGAGAACAAAGGCCAAGTCCATAAAACTCAGATGTCACGAAAGCACACACTTGCCCGGTCAGCATGGCTCAGTGGTTGAGCATCGACCTATGAATCAGGAGGTCATGGTTCGATTCCTGATCAGGGCACAGGCCTGGGTTTCAGGCTCAATCCCCAGAAGGAGGCGGGCAGGAGGAAGCTAATCAATGATTCTCTCTCATCATTGATGTTACATCTCTCTCTCCTTGGTGCCATGCCACATATAGAAATTTTTTGATATTTGCAACCATAGTAAAACAAAGACTTATATTTTTGATATTTTATATATTTAAATGCCATTTAACGAAGAAAAATCAACCAAAAAAATGAGTTTGCGTGTCACCTCTGACACGCATGTCATAGGTTTGCAATCACTGGCCTAGACCTACTCTTAGCTGCTGCATGGGAGGAATGGGCAGGAGAGAAAGGGGTGAAGGAAAGTGGCTGGTGAAGACTGCAATCCCCAAGCACACAGGGATTCTGCCGTAGGACAGAGGTTCAGCCAGGCCTGGCCTCAGGCAGCACAAACCAAGGCCTATTACTCTCTTTTTCTTTTTCTTTATATATATATATATATATATATTTTATGGGGATGTGCCCACAACCAAGGTACATGCCCTTGGCCAGAATTGAACCTGGGACCCTTGAGTCCGCAGGCCGATGATCTATCCACTGAGCCAAACTGGTCAGGGCTCTTTTTCTGATTTAGGTAGGAAAGACTTGGTCAGTACCACCTGGGAAGAGAGCCTGGGAAAGCGTGCCCCACCCCAAACACACCCCCTCAGCTCTTTTCTGCCTTCTCCAGTCTGCCCACCCTTTGCTGGGCTCAGTCCCCAGCTGTGTTCCCAAAGCTCCTGCCCATTCCCAGCCGTGGTAGCTGGCAATCCAGTGGATAGAGCCAACTGCCCCAAGCTTATCCTATGGTCCGGGGGTTCCTCTGTCTTCCTCATCAAAACTGATAGCTCTCCGGCACGCGCTCGCAAGGACCAGAGAAACGAATAAATACTGCCCTGGCTGGTTTGGCTCTGTGGAAAGAGCGTTGGCCTGCAGACTAAGGGGTCCCAGGTCTGATTCTGGCCAAGGGCACATGCCCGGGTTGTGGGCTCGATCCCCAGTAGGGGGTGTGCAGGAGGCAGCCGGTCAATAATTCTCTCTCATCATTGATGTTTCTATCTCTCTCTTCCTCTCCCTTCCTCTCTGAAATCAATAAAAATATATTAAAAATGAATAAATAAATTTATAAAAAGAAAAGAAACGAATACATACTGATAAAGTCCCTGATTGGTCCATAAAGTTAAACCCAGAGTGCAGACTTTCGCTGCAACAGAGACCATGTTTATTCCTCCCACCAGGCCTCCCCTGGGTGTAAAGCTGCAGAGAGGGATATAAGGGCCGAATGCTCCTCCCTCTCCATCTCTGACTGCCCACGCCTGCCTGGCCTGCGAGGTGACCACTGACCTTTGAAGCGGCCGGTCGCAGTCTTCCAGAGCAGGCAACCGTCGTGGATCAGCTTGCGCCGCAGAAGCTCCTCTCGGCCGAAGGGGCCCTTGCCGGGCACCGGCGTCTGGGCCCGAGGGTCCATGCGGTTGTAGATCTCCTGCAGGCGGGCCCCCTTCTCCAGCTCGTGCACATCCTGGTCCACGTGGCACAGCAACTCCTTCACCAGCCCCAGAGCCGCTGTCAGGTCCTTGCGCTCCTCCTCCATCCCTGGCACCGGGTCAGCATGAGGGATGGCTCAGCGAGCTTCACTCCAGCCTCAGTTCCCTCCGAGTCGTGATCCCACCTTCAGAGGCTGCCTAGGTTCCGCCTCTGACTCTCTCCCTTCCCTTGGCCCTCCCAAGCCGTTCTGTTACCCCAAATAGCCCGCCCCTCCTCCTCTCCCTGCAGCCCGCCTCTCACCGTGGGAATGCTGCAGGATCCGGCTAATGAGCACCGGGTACTTGGTGATGCGCTGCGTCACCAGCAGGATGCACTCCTGGACCCCATGCCGCTTCAGCACGGCCAGGCGGGTCACTTTCTACAAGGACAGAGGCAGGACTCAGGGCGAGGGCGGGGGCGGGGGGAGGGCAACGCGGGGAAGGCTGGACTGGGAGCCTGCGCTCCGGTGCCGGCACGAGCTCGGCCATTGACCTCATGCTGGCTTAGGCGAGTGCGTCTGGAAAATGAGATCTACTGTGAGGACAGTCAGACCAAGCAGTGGAAAACTCCCGCCCTGCTGCCACCGGAGGCTGGCCCACAGGGCTGGTGACCACCTGATCTCCACGCAGGTGCAGCCCACCTGCGCCGGGAGTGGGGGAGGCTGGGTTTGGGTCCCGGAGAGGTTTGCTCACCCGGATGAACTGCTGGAAGCGCTTGTCTCGAGCATACAGCTCCTTATAGAGCTTCAAGGCCTTGGTGTGGCGGCTACAGAACTCCGAGTAGGTCTTCCGCATCTGCTCCGCGCTGGGACCCGAGAACTAGAAGTTGGGGGAGCAAGGCTAGATCAGCATCCCCCCCAAAACCACACCTTATACCCCGTGTACTCTCTGGCCTCCAGCCAAACAGGTGTCTTCCTGCCTCTCCAGTTCTCCCTGGCTCTACCCCCTAGAGTTGGGGGCAAGAAATGCCCTCCCTAGCCCTGGCCAGTATGGCTCAGTTGGTTGAACATCATCCTGTGTACCAAAAGGTCACCGGTTCGATTCCCGGTCAGGTCAGGGCACATGCCCAGGTTGTGGGTTGAATCCCCGATTGGGGTGAATATAGGAGGAAACCAATCAATGTTTCTCTCTCACATAGATGTTCTCTCCTCCTTTTCTCTCTCTCTCAAATCAACAAAAACATTAAAAAAAGAAGAAAAAAGAAAGGCCCACTCCAGGCACACCGCCTTTTCTCACCTGGCTAATGAGCAGGTCGCCCAAGCGAGGGATGATGAAGTTGCGGGTGCTGCCAGGGCACAGGGCCTGCCGTCGGCGCTCTAACAGCTGGCTGAGGAAGCGTGTGTGGATGTCACTGAGCTCGTCCACACAGGGGAACAGGCCCTGGACCACTCCCGGCTCCAGCTGTAGCTCTTCCAGCATCCCCGTGCGGAAGAGGCGGGTCATGATCTTCAACGTCCGCACATGGTGCAGCTCCGTCTGGATCAGCTCTGTGTGGACAAGAGGACATCTGGCCTCTACCTTGGCGTGGCCACAAGTGGTGGGACCTAGGTTGGGAACCTCAGAGCACAGCGTGAGGTTTGCAAGGCCCCTTCCAGGTCAACATTCTGCATTAGTATGATCGATCATAGGTCATTTTCTAATCGTTTTTTTGTCTTTATAATTGTCATCTGATGATTGTCATCTGAAGTCGTAAGCTGCTTTAGGGCAAGGACCATGTATTTGTCTACATGTCTAGGTTTCCCACAGTCCCTAGCATGGTAACGGGCATGAAACAGGCCCAGAGTACAGACGAAGAATTGACTAGAATGAAGGGATAAAGACAGAGCCTTGGAGACCAACAGTCCCTCGTGGCAATCTGTGGGATGCCAGGCAGGGTCTTGGAGACCAATGGGGTCAGAGGGAGGGACCTTGAGAGGTGGGGACTGGCAGAAGGACACCAACGGACAGGACCTAGCGAAGGCGGAGGAGTCTCAGGGTGGTCTGGGCTCACCATAGATGACATCCTGTTGCTTCATCACCTCCTTTTTATGCTGCTGCAGGAAGCTGCTATCCACAGCGAGGCTCCAGGAATCGGCTGCAAAGTCCTTCTCATCCATCTCAAAGTCACTCATCAGCTCATTGTAGATGACCTCTGCACCTGGAAGCAGTGGGGGCAGCAACTCAGAGCCAATCCCCGAGGTCCTGGGCCCTTCTCTAGACCCTCTCCGGCTCTGCCATTCTGGGCCTGCCCACCAGCCCCTCCTCCCCGGGTGTCCCCAGGCCCCGCATGGTCACCTTCGTCGATGAGGGACTCCACCGACAGGGTTCGGTTCCGCATGTTGAGGGAGTCTGTGGACTGGGAGAGGATCCGGCGCAGGCCCAGTGGAGACTCATCGTTGAAGTGTCTGAGGGAAGTGGGGGTCGGCGGCATCACTCCAACGCCGGCCAGAGAGCCCTTCCCAGGCGCGGAACCGAAGCCGGGCCCGCGAGGCAGTCACCCCCAGGGCTCCTTACCTGTCTGACTAATTCTGAACCCAGGCGTGGCAAGGACCTCTCGCCCGCTGGTCCCCACCGCCACCTTCTCTGCCTCCCCGGCCCCCCTTCCCCCAGCAGAGGCTCACCCAGCGATGTTGGTTGTGGAAACGCTCTTGGCTAAGGACAAGGAGGAGCGGCCTCGGCGGGAGCCCAGCAGGGACTGCCGGAAGCTGTCGGAGGGGTAGATGGCGGAGCTCGGCCGCTCCCGCGTGGTGGCTGCAGAGGGGACACCGAGCAGGCAAATGTCAAACGTACGCAGCGCCTGCCCAGGAACCAGGCCTCCCAGGCTCCTCCACGGAAAGGCCGGCCCCCTCTCCCGCCCACCCTTCGCCCGCTCTAATAGAAGGAAGATGCTAACAGCGATGCTGCCTTACATTTGTGCAATGCTTTTCACACACACAGAGCTTTCCTTGTCTCAGACCTTCCCCTCAACACGCCTGTGAGCAAGCTGGAGCTCAGAAAGGGACTCAGTCTTGTCCGGGGTGACTCAGCCAGGGGATGAGCAGGGACTCACACCTGACTAAGCACCGCGCTCTTCCTGTTCCACCAGCGTGGCCTGAACGGACACTTGGCCGCTGCCGCCAACACCCAAGGGCAGCGTAAGTAATAACCATAACAGTACAGGTGTGAGCCGGTTCAGACGGCCAGCCATCCCACGTCCTCACGCCCCTGGGGTTCTTCTGTCCTGCCCCTAAGCCCAAGAGTCTGCCCAGCTCACCAGCTGCTTCCAATTAAGGGGAGAAAGGCGCTGCGCCAGGGAACACATTCGAGGGGAGCAGCAGAGCCCGTGGCCTGCAAGGCCTGGGGCCCGGGGGCCCCTGGGGGCTCCTGCACCCCCTCACTACTCACTCTTACTGCGGAGTGACACAGACTGCAAGGCAGTGTTGTTCTTCAGCAGGGCCGCTTTCTGTTGCTGTGGGACAGAGGGCAAGAGAGAGACACCAAGGACAGCTGTCACCCAAGCGTCACCCCCATAGCCCAGGGCAGGGGCTGGGCAGCTGGCCCCCTTGGGAGAAAGCTGGCAGGACGGCTACCGTCCTCAGGGTGGCTGAGCCCAGTGCCGGGGAGATACATCTATAGCAATAGGCTGGCCCGCTCAGGCCTGAGGTCTGGGGTGGAGGGTCTGGGCTGCCCCACGGCGAGGAGAGGGGTTGAGGAACACAGGGCAGGGGATGAATGAAAAGGGCATGAGGGTACCGCACACTCGCTACCCTCTCCCCCAGCCCTCTGCCCTCCCTGCCATCTCACCTTCTGCTTGACCTTGGTACAGTTGGCGAGGGTGTCTTTACAGCGGTTGTGGATAGTCACATTGCAGGCTGGGAGGGTGGGGTAAAGAGGGTGAAGGGAGGGCCGGGTGGTACAGGAGGGGGCACACCCATATGCCGACGCCCATCTCCCCTGGGCCACACAGTCTCAGAGACTGTCCTCCCTTCCCAGGCTTCTCAACCATCGCCACGCCCCAGCCCCTCTCCTCCCGCCTCCTCCTTCCTTCAAGCAGGAAATTAATGTAGGGGTACAGGTGTTGACCACAACTAAGTAATCAGGGCAGCAGGCTCAAAGGTGACCTGAGGGGTGGACTAGAGGGAAGAAGGGGTTACTGGCAGCCAGATGAGTTCAAGAAGCACAAAGGTGGTTGAGAACGACAGATGGAAGAGAAGACAGACGCCCACGGAAGCGAAGATGGCACAGGAGCTTCTGGGAAGGGGACTAGGGGCCGAGGGGAGAAATGAACATGCCCTGAGCATCTAGCCAGTGTCCCAGATTTACGTGGTCCTAACAACCCTTTGCGGTAGACTCGGTTCTCCTTGTTTTCCAGGTGAGGAACCTGGACTAACGAGGATAGATCACCTGCCAGAGGTCATATGGCTGGAGGTAGAGCCGGGATTTCAACTCCGGTGTGCCTGAGCCGTCCACTGAATCACACGCCTGCCCATGAACTCTGCCCAGGCCTATGTAGGGTGAGGGCCGATGGACCCAGTGGTAGAGTGGGGCTGGGCCCAGCCCTGCCCTTCCCTCCACTGCCTGCCTCTGCACTGCTCAGCTCTGCATGCTCTGCCTCCAGTCAATCTGCCTTCTTCCAGGCCCAGGATCCTGTTCTCTAACTGAGGCGAGCCTACAGCGCTCTCACTCCATCTGCTTCTCCCCATCCCCCGCCCCCCACACCTGGCCGTGGGGTAGAAGAGGCGAGGAAAGGGAGAACAGCCCAGCCCAGCACTGGAACCACGGGCTGTCCCTCTCCCCTCACATGCCCTCAGCCCTGTTCCTCTCCAGCTTCCCCTCCTCCATCCAACAACACCGGAAATTCTGCTAACTCCTTCAGACAATACCCAGCACCACGCTCACTTCCACAAATACAAGGCAAGCAGGGTGGGGCAGGGGGGCAGACAGAAGTGGGGGCAGGGGCTGCCCCCACCCCCCAGGAGCTCCCTTCTCCTATATCCCTAGCACCCAGTGTCTCTGGAGTGAACCTCCGCTTTCCACCTGCTCTCAAAATAGCACTTGCAGGCTGCCCGCCTCACCAGTTCCCCTGGCAACAAGCTCGGGATTGGGAATTTTGTCAGGTCTCTAGAGGGATTTAGGTTGGGGTTCCCTCCTCATCCTCATCACTCCAAGTAGAGCATCGAGGAAACAGTGGTCCTTTCTGGGGTTCCTTCCCCAGTTTCTGAGGGATTGAGGGCTACAGCCGTTGGTCCCACTCACCAGCAGCAGGTCCCAATACCTCAGGCCTGCTCTGATCACAAGCAGCTCTTTGCCATAAATTGGGGGTGGGGGGTGGAACAAGGCAGGAGCCCTCTGCATAGGCATTTTGGAGAAGGAAGAATCATACTTCCTAAATACAGGCTGCCTTCAGATGTAGGTGAAGGTCAGGACGTCTAAACCTCACCCCCCCAAAACACACACATCCTTGCTGGGTGCCCTCTCTCCACCGTGTAGTCAGTCAGACCAGAATGTGCGACAGAGGGTCCTAAGCCCGTCTTCTGCTTCAGGCTGCAGAGATTTCAGGCCCCACCCACAGTCGATAGAAAGGGAGTGGCCAGGGGCCCCCGGAGTCCTGAACGTCCAGTTCTGCCCAGAAGATTGGCAGAGCCAGCTGCAAGTTCAGTAGCTTGCCACCAAGCTCCCCTCGCCTGCCCCCACCTGCCCTCACAGGCATTAGTTCAGGGAGCCGGGGACACCCAGAGGGTGACAGCTGCACTGGGGAGCCATCCTCCCCTCCCTTCCTCCACCCTCCCAGATAGTCCTGCTTGTGCCATAGTCCGACTGCCACCACCCCTCGGTGGGAGGGAAGGGAGCAAGGGAGCAAGCATCTGGCCCTGGCATTGGGACCCAGCTGGGGCTCTGAGTGGAGAGTGACCCCTATGGATCCAGAGCAGAAAGGACAGATGGGAAGATGAGAGTCAGAGTGACATTCAGGGTCCAACTTACTTGGGCAGATGAGGGCCTCCTTGGCTGTGATGCTCTTGTTACAGGCATAGCACATGGTCATGCCCGAAACGGAGATGGTGGTGAAGAGGTGCCCGTTGGTATAGCGGGCATCCTTGGCTTCCTTCATCTTCTCCTTTTCCCGGGCCTGCGGAAGGGGTGAGAGAAACACTCAGTGAGGCTGGAAAACGCCAGGGTGCCAGAGGAGTCCAGAGAGGCAGGCTGGGGAGGAATCCTGCCGAGGGATGCCGGACAGACACCACCGCCTACAGCGGCGCCTGCTGCAGCTCCCGGGCCAGCCCCGGGGACCGGGGACCACTGGCCCCGACCGACCTGGCCCCTGCGGCTCGGCTGCCTCCCGTTGCCACTCATCTCCCTGGCCTGGCCCTCGGCGTCCTCACTCCACCTTCCAGCCCTAGCTCCGCTCGCCCCCGAGCTGCTGAGCTCTTCTGTGTGCCAGAGGAATATGCGCAGAGAGGAGGAGAGAGCAGGCGAAGCAGAGGATGCCAGCTCACCAGCGCTTTCAGATCTATGGGAGTTAGCTCCTCTTATAACCATGACAACCGGTGTTGGAGTCACTGTCTCTGTGGCTGTCACAGTGGGGGGGAGGAGGGAGGCCCCCCTTATTAGATTGACTGAAGGGGGCAGAATGCCTCCACTGCTACCCCCAGCCCAGAGTCAGGGCCCCAAACCTCTGACCCTTCCACACACACTCAGCCAAGTACACGGGGCCCGGGGCAGGAGGCAGCATGTTCTCCTCCGTATTCTCCTCCGCTAACCCTGGGGTAGGAGGAGCCTGGTTTTGGCCTTGGGTCACTCCTCCTCTCGCTCTAAGGGAGGGAGGAAACTCGGCCGGCTAGGTGTCATTCTTGGCAGGAAGTCTCTCCTGCAGTCTCACTTTTATCCTTCTCATACAACCCTCCAAAACCTAGGATGGCTCTCCCTCCTCCTCCTCACCCAGTTAGTCTCTCCTATCCGAGGAAGTTCCTTCTGACATCTACCCTCCATCCTCCAGCTGTCACATCAGTTCTTCCGGCTCCAGGCTCCCCCGAGATGGGGCACACTGTGAGCCCTCCCTCAAAACCTCAAAGGCTGGCTGTTCCCATCTCTGCTCTCTCCTCTCACTCCCCTCTGACCTCTGGACCCCTTTTCTGACCCCCCTCAAGCCACTGAGCTTCCTGAAAGCCTGAGAAGGGGAGGAGATGGGGTACCATCCTTCCCGCCTGCTCCAGGGCCTCCGGCAGCAGCCACTCTCGGAGGAAGGAGAACAGGAGCAGCAGCTAGGACCACCCCCTGCTTCCTAGCCCCTCAGAACCCAGGGGATCATTTGCTGAAGCTGAGGGTCTGCGCCCCGAGGTGGAGGACAGTGGTGGGGGCCCTGGGACAGAGAATTCGAGCTCAGGGGAGAGCCCTCAGGCTGGACCTCAGGCCCAAGGCTGAGTCCAGTCGGGCCACGCTCCTGCCTCACTAGCAGTTAAGAGGTGGGGGAGGGGCAGAGACACCCTGATCTGGTGCTTAGGGTAGAAAAGGGAAGTGTGGCCGGGCTGAGTCAACACCACAGGGGCCAGAGGGCACCGGGCCACAATGCCCTCGCATGTCTCCAGACTTCCTGGTGGCCCGGATCCTTCTCTCTCCTGCCTCCCTTCAGAGCTCCAGGTTTGTCAGATGGGCAGAGACCAGAGGTCTTAAGGTCACTTCCTACCCAGGTCTTCCATTTTCCTTTGCTCCTCTCCTCTCCTCCTCCTCCTTTTTTCTCTTCCTGTCTCCTGGTCTCCTTTCCATCCCATGGCCTGCCTCCTCTCCTCTTCCACCTAGGCCTGGTTCAGGAAGCTGGCCAGCCTCTAACTCTAGCCTCCAATGTTCCAGGCCTCCCCTTCTTTATTCTGGTACCACCTACCTGGACCACTAGGAAATTCTCCCTTCGGTCTGACCTCCATCTGCCTGCTCTATGGAAGATAAAACCCTGCTCTGAATAACCACCTTATAGGACCTCAAAGACCAAGTCCAAATATCTTTCTCACTGTCATACACTCCGTTCTCTCCTCCTTTCCTGCCCTCCCAGGCTCCTCTATGACACAAATAAAAAGTCTGAGCACTTACTATGTTTGACTTAAAAGCAAGCAAACAGTATGGGAATGTCAATTATAATTGAAATATTTTTCATAAAAGCAAGCAAAAAAATGAATATTAATGTAATAATCATATGAAAAAGAGCAACATGTCTAAATCAAGGTCGATTCCAGAGCAGACAATGGTACAGATCGGCCCTAATGATGCTACCACCCTCCCTCCCCTCACCAGAGTGCCCTCCACTCCTATGCCTCCAGGAGCAGTCACCTGGGAAGGAGGTGGAAGGAGGAGGGAGGGGACTGGGGCTGCCAGAGAATGGGGTCTCTAGTGGCCCACCCTCTCTGGCATCAATGCCCCATAGACAACCCAGGTACTCTGTGCCCAGGCTTCCTTCCTGAGCTCCCAATACTCACCCTCTCTCCAAGTGACCCCCTCTCTAGGTGGGCCAGGAGCGGGCAGCAGCCAGAGCAACAGCACATCCCAACATGGGCACTGCCCAGCAGCAAGCCGCCCTGGCACTGCCTAGCGCTATTGTCCTGGAGGCAGACTCTGCCCGCCCCTGGGCTCAGGCTGGTGAGGATAGGAGGACACAGGGCCTGCTCACCAGGGAGCCTGCTCCAGAGAGGAGTGCATGGTGGGTCTAGTTCTTTGTCCTACCCTTTTCCAGGTACTCTTATCACATTGGTCTCCCATTGAACCACCTCCCAGCAGGACAGCCCTTCACCTCCACACCCCATTCTGTCCCCCAAGACAAGGGCCCACTCCTCCATAATCTACAACACCCACCACTGACACTCAGAGACCGTTCCTGCCTTATCCAATGCTCTGCGGCCCCGTATCTAGAGTCTTTCCTTCTCATAAACCCACCTGGGAAGTCTTTCTTGTTACACAGCCCTCATCTACTGCTACCTCAAGGCTAAAGTGAACAAAACACCCGGAAATGGCTGGTACACAACAGGCACTCAATACATGTTGGGAAAGAAGGAAAGGAAGGAAGGATAGGTGGACAGACGGACGGACGGATAGATGGACACCAAGACAAAGGGTCCCAGCAGCACCCTCCCCCCTGCTCTAGGGCCCCTCATTCCTTGTCAGAGGTTCGAAGCCTTCGGTCTCCTCTCCTCATTCCTCCTTTTCTCTCTTCCTGGAGGTTCCCAGCTCTGCTCTCCCCTTATTTCCTTAGAGCTTAGACCTAGAGGCCAGAAGGCCAACCCAACCCTTCCTTCCCTGTCATCCAGATCTCAGTCACTTTGTGGGGGAGAAAAGACTAGGTGAATAGCAGAGGGTCTTGTGGCTGGTGGCCCCAAAACTCAAAGGCAGCAGCTGTCTCCCCACTTCTCTGTCTCCCAGGCTGAGAGACGAGGAAAACAGTAACGTCCATGAAGGACAGGGCCAGGCCAAAGCCTGGACCTTGGCTTCCTGTGCTCCCAGCGGGCAGCGGGGGCTGGCTGGAGCCTCTCCAGGGCAAAGCCTAAGCTCTCAGCTGTCCTTGCTCCTCCGTCGGGTGTATCCAAACCAAGGGCTCTGGGGGAGTCACGTGGTACCCAGAATCGCCTCTGCTCCAGCTGCAACTGGCAGCAGCCCCTTCCCCAAGATGGTGAGGCCTCTGTCCAGACCCGCTGTATGGCTGTATGGTGACCCTGGCGGATTCCACTGGGATTGGAGTCATCTGCGGCTCAGTCCCTAGCCAGCAACGGTGCAGAGTCATGGGCCGTGAAGGGCAGTGAGTCATGGGAATGAGCTATAGGGTTGGGAAATGAGACAGAGGGTTCCTGGCCATGGGACTGAGAAGAGAGCTTGGGATGGTCTCAGCCAGGCTCTGTCCCTTTGTGACTTTCCAGGGATAAGATAACGGAGGCCAAGGAGGAGGCAGCTAACTGAAATACTAACGCCAAAGCCAGACACGTAACACAAAAAGATACCACTGAGTACACACAGGCACCTAATAAATGCTCGCTTGATGAATGAGGATGAAACACTGGACACTGGTGGGCACACTGGTGAAGCCAAAGAGGGGTGCTAAGGGTCATCGGGAATAAAGCTGAGCTAGAGACCCTGAGACCCAGACATCCTGGACCCCAGCCGGCCCCCCACCCGGCCACACCTGTCGGGTCAGAGAGAGAAACCAGCAGAGGGAGGGGGAGTGATGCAGACAGACGGGCATTTGTGAAGCGAACAATAGCTGTGCCAGGACTCCCTGCCCTCCTGGCACAGGGCAGGCTGGTGGAGCTGGGAGGGGGCAGCTGCTGCCTGCAGGCCCCCTCCCCCAAGGACATATAAACAAACCCAGAAAGGTCCAGCCAGCTCCTCTCAGTCATTTCTCTTATCAGCCCCAGGAGCCCTAACCAATCTGCTCACACAAGCTCCTGGACAATACTTCAAACCAGAGACTGAAGCGAAGGACGGAAAACCTTCCTCAAGTCCAAAGTACAAGCCTCCTACTTTGGTGACCACCATTCAAAGCATTAAACCAGAGCATCTGGGGACAGACAGACAGATGCACACATAGACCCCAACACAGGCCATGTACATGCATGGGACTCAGACGTTCTGATCTGGCCCTTCCCCGATTCCAAGGTCAGGGATCCAGGAAAGCCAGAGGGACAGAGAGCAGAGCCCTCTTTAAAGCCCTTGGTCAGCCCAGCAGGTTCTCTAGGCTCATCCAGCTCCCCCGCTGTCCTGTGACTTCCCGAAGCTTTCCGCTCCCTTCCCCCATCCTCGCACCTCCCCTCCCCCTCAAGAGGAAAAAAAAAAGTCTTGCAGGAATGTGCTTGGTAACCTAGAATCTTTTCTTACGCCCCCAAAAGCTTCCGCCTCCTGGGGATCCCCAACTCTTCAACATCCCCCCAAACTGCCACCCCTCTCCGCCCCCTCCTGGGCTCACCCAGCCTTCCTCTGTGGCTCCACTCCTGCACACAAAGCCAGCCACCTCTCCATTTCTCAGGACAAAGAAACAGCCTTTCTCCTTTCTCCCCACTCCACCTGCCCACCACACTCCAATGCTGGGGCCTAAAGATTCCAAGGAGACCCCCCTCCAGGCTCCACAGCCCCCCCTGGGTCTCTGGACCCCCTGCTTGC